ATGTTTATTAATACTTGTCTATAAAATATGTAGATGCCAGCATCTATTAATCTACTAATTTATTAATCACTATTATTGCAGTATGTACTAACATTTCTACATGATTAAAAGTCACAATTAAACTCAAAAGAGAAATATTGGATATAATAACTGAGAGCTAAATGCAAAAAATGTAACTTTTTACATTTTTAAGTTTTATTAATTGTAGAGATAATGTTTTACATTTTTCCTGTTCTTTATTGTCCAGAATATTTATTTCACTCAATTCATTCATGTATTTTCTTTTACTGCTTTCCAACCATTTTTTTTCCTTTTTTAACATTTTATTGGGGGCTCTTACAGATCTTATAACAATCTATACATCCATTGTGTCAAGTCCATTTGTACATATGTTGACATCATGTTTTTCTTTCTACTTGAGCCCTTGGTATCAGCTTGTCATTTTTGTCCTCCCTCCCCCCCCACACCCTCCCTCATGAACACTTGATAATTTATAAATTATTATTTTCATATCTTACACCAATTGCTGTCTCCCTTCACCCTCATTTCTGTTGTTCATCACCCATGGTGGGGCTGGGGGTTCTACGTTAATCATTGTGATAGGTTCTCCCTTTCTCCCCACACCTTCCCCCTACCCTCATAGTATCGATACTCCCATTATTGTTCCTGAGTGGTTTATCTGTCCTAGATTCCGTTTGTTTCCAACTCTGATCTGTACCAGTTTACATGCTCTTGTCTAGCTAGATTTATAAGGTAAAACTGGGGTCATGATGGGGCAGGGGGAGCGGGGAGGAAGCATTCAAGAACTAGAAGAATGTTGTACATTTTGTCAATGCTATACAGCACTCTGGCTGGCTTGTCCCTTCCTTGTGACCCTTATATGAGGGGATGCCCAATTGCCTACAGATGGGCTTTGGGTCTCCATTCGAACCCCCTCCCCCTGCATCCACATAGATATATTTGTTTTGTGTCTTTTGATGCCTAATACCTGATCCCATCGGCACCTGATCGCACAGGCTGGTGTGCTTCTTCCTTGTGGGCTTTGTTGCTTCTCAGCAACGAAATAGAATTCTACTTATTTATCTTCAAGCCTTTAAAACCCCAGATGCTGTATCTTGCAATAACCGGGCAAAATCAGCTCTCTTCACCACATTTGCTTATGCACTAATTTTGTCCTCAGCGAGTGTGTCGAGAAGGTGAGCCTCATAGAATGGCAAGTTATTAAAACCCAGTGATCTTGCATTGAGGGAGTACTTGAATAGAGGCCCAAAGTCCATCTGCTACCTTAATATTTAACATATAATACATGTACATATATCGATGTCCCTGTCATTGTATAAAAATATATTTACATATCTGTGTGCCTATATTTATACTTCTATAAATGCCCTTTGCCTCCTAGTCCTATCCTCTATTTCATTTTACATTTTACTTTTTCCTCTTGTCCCAATATCATGTTCGGCCTTCATTTTGTTATCAGTAATTCTTCTGGGCTACATTGTACTTGATCAAGCCCCACCAGGCCTCCTACACCCTCCTCACCATTGATTTTATCTCTCTTGTTGTTTCCTTGTCCCTGGGTTTGTTGAATCCCCCTTCCTTTCCCCCACTTCCCCCTATCCCTTGTCCCCCTGGAACCTTGGTCCCATTGTTTACTCCTGGGGATTGTTTATCCTGCCTACCTTATATAGATAGACATGTTAAAAAAAAAAGCCTATAAATAGTTCCAAGTCTGTCTGTTGACATTTATAAATTATTTCTGATCAAGTCTACTTTGGGGAGTCCTTGTATTATTCTGAGTACTTTTGAGAAACAAATCCACAGAAACTCATGTATAAGAGAAAGTTTTATATAAACGTTTAAGTGTGCATCAAGAAAACATCTCAACCCAGTGCTGCCCAACCCCACAAGTCCAACATTAACCCACATGTCCGACACCAATCTACAAAGTTCTCCTCCATCTCACAAAACACACACTATGATGCTGACTGCAGGAGGAAATCTGAGTCAGTGAATGTGTAAGCATCTCAGCGCTGGCAGGGATCTCCACATGGCTGCGCCAGCACCCAGGGCTGCATCTGGGTATGCCCATGTGGCTTCTCCTGGGGGATGTCTTACTGGAAGTAAGCCTTGCCAGCTGAAGCAGGGAACTGGCTAAGGTAGCTGTACCCTGGTCCAACCATCAGAAAGCAAGGGACCTGAGAACTAGAAAGGCGAGGTTCACTGAGCCATTTATCCCTCTGCCCCTCAATTAATCTCACATGTGTTTATAGGCCAGGTTGGCAATATAAACTAACTACCTCACTGGTGGAGTCCATTGCTTTGTTCCCCTTGCTACTCTGCTACACTCCCTTCATGCTTTTCCCCAGTGTGCTAGAGTCAGACTGAGCACAATTCCTGCACTGTTTCTTCATTGTTGTCCCCCATAGTGCTATGGATCAGTTAAGGGATGCTGTGTCTTGTGGTGGGGCTGACTCTATGGTCCTCTCTATGCCCTGGCTGCTCCGAGCAGTAATACCACCCTCGGGGTTTGGTGGGCCAGGATGTGTTCCACTCTCTCTCTGTCTCTCCTTCCCACTTAGTTTGCTCTTATGTGTTCTGAGCAGACCTGCCCCTCTCCCCGAGCTGTATCTTCAGTGCTCTGCTCTGCGGTGCATTGTTCTGGAGAGGGTGTCAACATAGCTGGGATTGGGGCCAGCCCTGCCGACCTCTCTGTTGGGTTGATGCTTCATGCTGAAGTATTGGTTTCAAGCCTTGGGGGGAAAATGTAACTTGATTCTTTTAAACCTGTTTTGTAAGTATGCGTGTAATATATATATAATATATCTTCTTGCAGTCTGATGTTCACCTTCCTGACAGGATTGCTGAAGACAATATATATCTATATCTATATCTATATCTATATCTATATCTATATCTATGTCTATGTCTATGTATATGTCTATATCTATATTTATATCTAGATATCTAGATATCTAGTCATCAGAGCAAGCTAAATAATTTATCAGTTTCCTTACTAGATCACACCAGCCTCCTGGGCTATAGCTGCAATATCATTTGGACCACAATTGTGATTGCTAGATCACTGTGAATTGTTTCCAAAATGCTCTGTAGTTTGAATCTTCTTACAAAGATCTTAGGTCAGTAGTTCATTGTAATTTCCACTTTGAACTATTTAACCCAAACCACTGCTACCAAGTCCATTCTAACTCACAGCAATGCTATACAGGCTTTCTGGGGTTGTAAATCTTTAATAAGCAGACAGCCTCGTCTTTCTAATGCAAAGGCAGTGATGGATTTGAACTGCAAACAATACAGTTAGCAGGCCCACACTTAACCACAAAACTAACCCTTTCTCTCCTACCAATTCCTGGATGCTGGGTACATAATTTAAGATAAGAAAGAACTTTAGCTATGTTCCAGTTCAGTCCTAACATATATGGAAAGGGTTACTGTCTCAAAACCCACAGGGGAAGTTCTCTTCTGTTCCTTAGGGCCTCTGTAAGTTCAAATCAATTTGATAGCAGTGAGTTTTGAGCTTTATTGACAGAACTAAAAGGACTAGATACATAGATATTGTATAACACAGCTAAACAATAAGGCAGTTTTGAAGAACATTACCTAATTTTATTTATAACTGCATATTTGTGTGGTATTGTGAACATAAAATTGATTAAATTATCCTCCAGGGACAGATTCACCTATTAACTTTCTTTATTAAGAAAGTTTATTTTTACATACCATGAGAACCTATTGAGATGAACTCATGTATTTACTAAGACTTGATTCCTCAAAATAGATTATTGTCTAATAGAGGAGACACCATTTTAAAGTGACAAATTATATGAATTTTAAATAACAGTTGAATATGAAGAATTCCTTTTTAAAAAGATGATTAATCCTGTTTATGGGTATGGGTGTGTTTTAATACATAATTATGGCTCTTCCCAATTATAGGTTTAGAAATGTTTATCGGACAACATGAATCACATGTTACCTACATACATATATTGTATTACTATTACTCATGTAATCATAATAATTTTTTAATACTTAAAAATCTTCCATTAGCAAAATTAGTAACCTGAAAAAGTGCTTTACGATATAGAACTTGAGTGAAAGCAGGCCCTTGCTCGGGTCTGTAACTTTAAAAGATCTAGACTAATTTTAGCTTTTCATTCTATAAAAGATTAATTTGACTTTTTAAAAAACATACATTGTACAATAAATAAATAATCACCCCAGTGTTCATAAAGACATTGTGCATTTCAACTTTAAGGAACTAGATCTCGATTATGGTGTTTGGTGCCCTCACGTCGATGCTTCTGATGCCCTGGTCCCCTGTGTGTCCCAGAAGGAACCTCCACCCACTCCCAAGTCAGGCCCCCACTTGTCACCCTGAGGCCCATTGGTTCAGTTGCTGGCTCAAGCCACCTCATCAAGCCATCTCTTGAGCCACCTTCCTCTTTTGCGTTGCCCTATTGTATGTGGTGCTTTATCCTGTCCTATTGACATAGCTTCCGGCGTCACACACAGCAGCACACAAGCCACTGCACACGACAAACTGACAAGACAGGGAGCGGCTGTATCATTTATAGTTAGCATAAATCCCAACACAAAACCTAAGGAGAGCATTGATTAAACATGGGAAACAGTTGGTTAAATTAAAAGAAAATGATTGAAAATGCACTTAGTTTTGAACTTTGTGTGTGCTGTGCATTTCACACTCCAGATGTGCTATTGAATGTTTACCTTCTGCTCCTGACAATGATCAGGGCTGATGCTGGAAAGTTTGTGGGGCACACGCTGGTCCTTCTCTCACATTCTAAACAGATTTCAAACTCATTCACATCACCTGCGCTTGTCAAACTTGTTTACAGCATTTAGATCTTCTCGGAATTTGACTTTGCACTGACTTTGAGAGTCACAAGCTAACGAGCAGCTAAATGAAGCGGAACAAAACAACACAAAGTGGAAGGAGCATGAAGTCCAAACCCAGAGTTCACTTAGCATGCGTGCTTTTCTCTCCCAACCTGAGGCATTTGTTATACAAACGGAAGCAAATGGGCATGATCAAGGGCAAAGGTAGGAAGGCTCCTTTATTATCTCCCAAATACTCCGTGCTTTTATATAGGTGCCAGAAAAGGCTGATGTGTTACATTAAAAACCGTACTTGTCATTCATGTTGAACTGGAAAAATAATGCATATTTGAATTTAAAAGAAAGAGAGACTATCAGTCCTGTGAGTTCCTTGGAAAATAGGAAAATTATATTTTTGTAAAATAAAAGGAAAAGATGAATTTTCAAACTTCTAACCACAATGAGATATTTCCATAATTACTAATTTATCTACAATGAGTACATTGAAAGAGGATTGAAAACCAATTACTTTATTCTTGAGGTCATATACTTAGCCTCCTGATCAAGTATCTGTCTTAATGTCTCTATGATATCTTTTTATTGACTGGCACGAAAATAAAAATGTAAATAAGCATAACTTGTGGGGAGAGGATGGTCCCCAACAAATCATCACAGATCCGGTAGGCACAATTGTACAGCGATATTAAGTAAAGATTATAGTAAAGTCACAGAGAGCATGAGGGGTAGAGGAGAGATTGGAATAATGGAGTCAGACACAATTCATGGTTGCATGCTCACCTCAGCCCCACTTGGTGGTCCTCGTGAGGAAAGCCCGGCCCCAAGAGCAGGAGAGAGCCCCCTTTATTGCTAACCAAGGGTTCTATCTCCTTTGAAGCAATAAGGGGCCATACCATAGGCCTACACATCATAGGAAGGTGAGGCATAAGCGTGACAGGAAGGGGAAGAGCTAGGAGTGTGCCCATAGGAATGGGAAGGTCTAGGGGTATACATGTGACAAGATGGGCGGGCCCTAGATTCATAATGGCAGCCTAACCTTGGTCATCCTAGGGCGGGTTTGACCTTTCTGGCATCTCCTACAAGGAAACAGACAAGTACTATCCTTATCAGAAGGGAGTGGGCCCTACTTGTGGGATAAGCAGTGGTGATTTCTTGGCCTAGATGGCTGATAGCTCTTAGGGAGAATGACCCCTGATCTACTCCTGATGACCTCCAAGTGTAGTCATTCACAAGCAGTGAAGTCTGGCATATATTTGGGGGAGACAAGTTGGGAGAAATCCTTCTGTTTCCCACAATAACTGAGACAAACCAACTCACTGCCATCAAGTCCGTGCTGACTCGTAGGACCTGATAGAACGGTGTACAACTGACCCTGTGAGTTTCTGAGACCGTAACTCTTTATGGAGTAGAAAGTCCCCTTTGTCTCCCCCACAATATGAAAGCAAATAATAATAGGCAAAAAAAAATACACCTTAGTTGCTTATCTATAGTGGAAGTTCATACCTTGTCTGCAAATCTTCATCACCTGGAGGATTTTAAAAAACAGATAAAAAACTGAAACAAGTTTTCACAATGTGTTTGTGATTTAATTTGTCTCATTAGCTACTATGATGAGGTGCAATTGGTTACTAGGGCTCTCCTATCCATGTCTTTAATAAAATAAAGTATAGAAGACGATGATTTGGCAATTGGTCAGTTTTGTCATTCTGCTGGGAATAAGAGTGATCCACTACAGAACCAAGAAGAGAAATACCATGAACAGGAAAAGAAGAGCCACCGGGAGACCAGAAAGACTGAGAGGCTGAGGGTCAGACAGACATCCTGTCAACATGGACTGTATACACAATGACTGTATCATTAACATTTTCAATCTGTTAGGTATCCTAAAAAGCCCTCATGATTGTGAGTCTTGTCTATGGTTTCTGTATGATCATTGCAATGGGTTGTCAAACTCAGAAGAGAAGTGGTGGCCAAGTGAGAGATGGTTGGTGAGAGATGGTTGGAATAAGGGAAGATGAAGAGTGGAGGCATGTCTGAATTGTGTCTTGTGGCAATCCACTTTGGGCTCATGTGGACTTGTATTCTCTTCCTTTGTATAGCAAGAAGTCGGACATTTCCCCCAGCTCATTGCCATCTGTAGTGTCCCAGAACACCTGTTGGTTCTAAAGAGCAGCAGTAGTAAGAATCTAGGTGTAAAATCGTAACTTCCTTAAAGGCAGGTTCATTTTATTATTAGAGTGTTAATCTTGTATTCCACTTCTGATAATTACACTGTAATATTCCATGTGTTTGACATCAGTGTTTGTTTGGAGTTTATCCCATGACATGTTTTGTGTGAGGGACACTGTGAATTTATTCCTATATTTGAATATCTACATTATACACTTAACTGAAACACGTGTTTTGTAAAACCATAATCTTTCTTAATATATACATTTAAAAAATACAACCATGGTGAGTTAGTTAATTGTGCCAGCCTGGCCGATAATCACTTGTGGTGCTGGTTGAAAGGCGGAGGGATAAATGGGTGGTGAAGCCTCGCCTTTCGAGTTCTCGGGTCTCTTGTTTTGTGATGGTTGCATCGGGTGCAGCTGCCTTAGCAGTTCCCTGCTTCAGCTTGTAAGATGGATTTCCTACAAGACATCCCCAAGGAGAAGCCGCATGGATCTATCCCGATTCAGCCCTGGGTGCTCCAGCAGCCGTGTGGAGACCCCTGCCAGTGCTGAGATGCTTGTTCGTTCACTGACTCAGCTTTCCTCCTGCAGTCGGCATTATTGCCTCTGTTTTGTGAGGTGAAGGACTTTGTGGACTGGTGCTGGGTATGGGTTAATGTTGGACTTGTGGGCTTGGGCAGCATTGGGTTGGGATGTTTTCGTGATGCACATTTTCTTTACATAAAACTCTCTCTTATACGTGAGTCGCCGTGGATTTGTTTCTCCAAAGTACCTAGACTAATACACATGGTCATCAACATTTAAATTGTTAAAATAACTCACTAATGTTGCTCTCTGAAATTTGGAAATACTACCCAATTATCATTTACATTAATCTTTTTCTCATGAATATATTGAACTCTAAAGAAAATTATCAAAAATATAGGAAAGATAATATGATGGAAGCCTCCAAATCACAGTGAAAAAATTGTTTTACTTAAGTTTAGAATATTTCAAAATCAGCTTAAACTTCACCGAACATGTGCTTTGTCCAGGGGTTGAGATGGCTCCATATCTGAGCGTTCCACATCTCGTGTCACCTGGACACTTGTGATGGGAGAAATAACAGCATGGGAGTTACTTAGGAGGATCACAATGGTCAAAATTAATTGTACGAATAAGTATATACAAGGTGGTATTGCATGTGGAATACATAATTGTGTTTTCCACTGGTGGCACATTTCCTAACAGTAAAAGCAAAATATTCAAACTACTTTGAATGATGCCCGCATTATCTGATACTTTAGTTCACATGAAATGAAAAAACAAATAAAACCATTACACCTATCCTTGTACCACCTAACTTTTCATATTGCTTAACTGAAAACTGTAAAAGCCAGGAAACATACTTACAATTGTCCTCAAATTGCAAGGTGAAAATTTATGTACTTATTTTGACAATGCCTCTGATCTCCTAATGATGCTTTCCAACAGATACAAGGTTATACATATGCAGGAGTACTTTGAATTATTGATCCTTTAAAGAAACTGTATTAACTTCATTATAAAGTGATGGAGCTATTTGTATCCATCCATCCAGCTTTTAAAGTCCCACTCTTTTTCCCAGTGGTCATTCCTTCCAATATTGCAACATTTAAATAGGCAAAACTGTTGCTATTAATGATATAGCTAAAAATGTGTAGCTATGATATTAGACAAGCCTTGGGTTGGGAGTATATCTGAACATCTTTACAAAAAGCCGGTAACAAATGCCACTGTGATCTATATCCCCTTTCTTAAAGAGTCACTTAAATAAATCCTCCTGAGGGAATAGGGGAAGTACTTTCTGTTGACATAAACAGTAATTGATAGGTTTTCTTGAGTACTTTTTATAGAAACGTTGATGTATTACACTTAGGATTACTAGTTAGCTCTCATTTCCTTTCAACTCTTGCCTCTGGATAAGCTCAACTATTCCCAAGAAGAAATACTGATCAAGTACATTTGTCATGCGAGCAACTATAATAAGGTAATTCATCATAGTCTGTCAGAGTCTGATTCTAGAAAGACTGCTGCATTTTTATCCTTACTTAAAAATCTGCTGTCACTCCTGCTGGAAATTTGGTAGACACTTTGGACATGTTTAAAAGCCCTTCCAAACTGATAGTGGCAGATAATTAAGTTATCAGTTATCAAAGCTGCTACTTCTTTTTTCTTCCTTCTTCTTTGTTCCTTGCAATATGAATGATCCCGGGAACACATCTGGCTAGTTTAAGCTGACCTGTTCACAGGGCATAATCTCTCGTTCCCTTTCTTTCTCCTTCTTAATGGTAGCCAGTGACCAATGTAATTTACAATGACAAATGAAGCCTTTCTCAAGAGTCTAATTGAGCAATTCTGTTTTCCTTTCCAGGACCAGACATCACAACACACCGAACTCCATTCACTAAGGTGGTGAGGCCTGGTACTCACCAGGAAACGAGGTCGAGGAAGGATCGGAAGAAGCAATGCATTCTGCCAATGGGTAGCTACTCAGCTCATCTGGTCAAGTCCTTATTCCAGGTGTGACAGTTCTTAGAAACCACATCCAATAAAGTTTTATTTTGATGAGCACTTTGTAAAGCTCCTAAAATCTCATTTTTCTCCCTCTCATTCTCTGTCCCTATCAATGTTTCTGTTTTCTCAGTGTTTTAATCTAAACCCTTTTATTTTTTTTAAAAAGTGCATCCATCTATTCTTGTGGCAATTTTAAACCATTATTGAATACTATCTTTGACATGCTTTTTGAATTAAGGAGGAGTAAGGAGATAGCATAAATACATTTAATTTTACTTCACTTTCAAACATTTCATTATTCCTATCTAAAAATCATTATATTATTAAGTAGTTATTGAACAAATGATCATGCCCTACTGGTGGCAAAATACTGCCTAGATAATTAAATATTAGCTATATAGGCAGATACAGATATACTGCAAATATATGAATCCATACACTAATTTAGATCTAGGAGTCCTGGTGGCGTAGTGGTAGCTGTTCAAAACCACTAGCCTTTCTGCAGGAGAAAGACAGGGCTTCCTACTCCCATGAAAAAATAGTCTCAGCAGCCCACAGGGGCAGTTCTACCTTATTACATAGCCTAGGGTTGCTGTGAGCCAGCATCGACACCATGGCAGTGAGTGTACAGATATAGTTACAGATCATTGTTTGCTCTATTGAGTCAGCCTCCAATTCATGGCCATCTCATGTATAATGGTTCAAAATGATCTCTAGTTTTGTGCTATCTCCCTGTTTACTTAGGATTGCTGTATTTGTTTTCAGGCACCCTAGAGTTTATTCCAACTCATAGTGACCGTATTAACAACAGAATGAAACACTACCACTCTTGTGCCATCGTCACAATTGCTATGGTTGAGCCTACTGTGGCAGCAATTGTGCCAACACATCTCATTCAGGGTCTTCTTCTTTTTCCTGACAATCTGCCAAGCATAATATCATTTACTAGGTACTGGTCTCTCTTGAGACAAAGTTTCCTCATCCACACTTCTAAGAAGCTTCTGGCTATTTTTCTTCCCACACAGATTTGCAAGTGCCCCTGGCAGTTCACAGTACTTGCCATACTCTATGTCAATGTTACAATTCAAAGGCACCTCTTCTTCTTTTGTCTTCCTTATCATTGTTCCACATTCATAGGCGGCAATAGGAAATACTATGGCTTGGATCAGGCACACCTTAAGTCCTCAAGGTGACACGCTTTCTCTCCAATACTTTAAAGAATCTCTTGCAGCAAGTTTGCCCAATGCAAGACATTAATCTCTAACTGCAGCTTCTTTGAGCATCAGTTGTGGATCCAAATGAAATGAAATCCTTCACAACCTTTTTCTATTTACTATGATGTTGTCTATTTGTTCAATTGGAAAGGTTTTGTTTTTCTTTTCATGGAGTTGCAATCCATACAGAAGAATGCATTTCTTTATCTTCATCAGCAAGTACTTCAAGTCTTTGCTTTCAGCAAGCAAAGCTGTCTCATCTGCAGAGTATAGGTTGGGAACAAGCTTGCCTTCAGTCATGATGTCTGTCCAGATTCTTAGATTATTTTCTCAGGGTATAGATTGAAGAACTATGGAGAAAGGGTTAGTGTCAGTTCAGAGCCAGTGTCCAGTAATCCCTGAAAAGTTTGATTATTTCCTTTCCCCAATTGGTCACTCTTGTGAAAGGCCTCAAATCCCTTTGGGGAAGTCTAGAAGAAAGACTAACAGTATAAACCTTCGGTGATGTAGCAGGATCCTCCTTCAAAGGGACCTGGCCCTCCCCTCATTCAAGGGGTTGTGCATCTGTAAACGGGATCAGGTCTGGTAATTGATTGAATGGTCGTGACTCTCTATTCTGCTGTTCACCTGATCTAGCATTCTTCTGCCTACATAGAGCATGTAAATATACAATAAGTAAATAAACAGCTAATTAGTCTATAGAGCAGTACAAATGACTCAGTGCAGCTCAATGCCTTGAGACATCAATAAACTGGAAGTCCTCCAACTCACAAGGGCTGCTGGATGCAAGTCAAGGAAGCAGACAGTTGAGTCTTCTGTAGAACAATTCAGGTAATCTGGCCACAGGAAACAAACAGCAGGGTAGGACAACAACACTCAGCTAGATGACAGGGTCCCACAGTCCCCAGCTCAAGTGATATATACACCAGCAGCGTGGTGAAGCATGTCTTGGAAGAAACTCAAACTATAGCAACACAATCCATGGGTTGGGTGTCCCACAGGAAATGTAGCTCACAACTTGAGGCAGAGAACCAGCCAAGGTAGTCGCATACAGTTCAGATCATCAAAGAACACGAGACAAGAAAGGCGAGGCTCACCGAGCCATTTATCTCTCCGCCCTTCAATTAATCCCATGTGTTCATTGGCCAAGTTGGCACAATAAACCTACCTATCACAGGGTTCAATCCTGATGTATATCTTTCCTGATTTAAAGTATGCAGCATTCCCTGGTTCTGTTTGAACAACTGTCTCTTGGTCTATGTAAATGTTCCATACGAGGAAAATTTAGTGTCCTGGAATTTCCATACTTTTCCACAATTTTTTATGACCTACACAGTAAACAGCCTTTTCAAAATAAATAAAACACAGACATCTTTCTAGTATTCTTTCATCCATTATCCATCTGACATCAGCAATGCTATTTCTCATTCACCAACTTCTGAATCTGCATTGAATTGCTAGAAACTCTTTGCTGATATACAGCTGCAACTTTTGCTGAGTGATCTTCAGCAAAATTCTATTTGTGATATTAATGATATTGTTAGATAATTTATGTATTTTGTTTGGTCTTCTTTCTTTGGGATGGGCAAAAATATGGATCTCTCCCATTCAGTTGGACAGGTATCTAACTGTTCTCCACATTTCTTGTCCTAGGTAAGTAAGTACTTCTAGTGCTTCATCGGCTTGTTGAAAAACTTCAATTGGTATTTTGTCAATTTCTTCAACCTGTTTTTTGCTAATGCCTTCAGTACTCCTAGGACTTCTTTCTTCAGTGTCATTGATTCTTGATACTATGCTACCTCCTGAAATGGCTTGGGCATTGAAAATCATAATCCATATTATTTTCACTAGGTGATGTACAGAAGTTGATTACTTGAAATTTCATCCTAACTTACTTTAATCTGGTATCTCCACTGAGAGAGAAGTGGTAACCTTACATAAGGTATGATTCTGGAAGTAGAACTTGACTCACATGGAAGACAAAAATCATACCACTGAACAACTGAGGACCCTTCTATATAATATTAACAACTCTGTTAAATTCAAAGATAATTTAAATACAAATGAAAATAAACATAAAACATATAAATACATATCTTTACTCTCATCTCATAATTTTGTCTTTTACTGTATGTGATTTTCCAAAGGATGAATCAATATAATTTTGAAAAACAAAGATCTCTAAGTTTGATTATTATTTACTGTATCAGCTAAAAACACTTACTGAATACCTGATGGCTTAACAGTATCTGTGTTAGTCCTGGTAGACTAGAGAAACAAATCCAGGGAGACTCACATGTATATAAGAAAGAGCTTTATATACAAGAACAGTTGAATATTGAGATCAATATTCCAGATCAAGGCCACAAGTCTGATATTAGCCCATATGTCCGATACCAATCTATAAAGTCCTCTTCAGACTCATGAAACACAAGCAATGATGCAGGAAGATCACAGG